AATCCAGCGGTGGCGACGAGGGCCGCCCGGGAGACCCCAAAGACAGGGAAAACGAGGGAATGGTAATGGGTATGGGTACATGTCTCTCCTCTGACTGCTGCACCTCCCCGACAGGCCTCAAGCACCGACCCTGACCGGGCCCACCCAAGGGGCCCAGGCTTCAGGGGCGGCCAAGGAGGGGGGGGCGTCCACGGGGGTGGGGGGGGGGGCACATCATGGCCGGCGGAATGTGCGCGGCCCAGGGGGGGGTCCCGGGGCGAAATGAAATGAGAAGATGCGCCATGACATATGGGGAGATATCATGGCCCCCGCCATGACATTCACCCCCTTAGTCATCACTAGAGACCTCCTAGGTGGGGTCCGAGTAGATGGGGTCGAAGTCTGGCGTCGCATCGCCAATGCATCGCCGATGTATCGGCGATACATCGGCGATGCATCGGCGACGTCGGTGCTGCATCGGTGATGTCGGTGATGCATCGAAGACGTCGGCGTGGGAAAACACGGGCTCCACATCGAGCTGCATCGTCGATGCATCGGCGATGCGGCGCGATCCCTCGACCGCATCTACTCGGACCCCCATCTAGGAGGCCTAAAATCGCCCACCTCCTGGCCGCCCCCGAATCCAAGGGGCCCAAACTTCGTGTTCTGAGGCCCTTCTCGCCTTGGCCCCTGGGAGCCGGGACCACGCCAGTCTGGGGCCTTGGGTTGGCCCAGCAACGGCCCGAGCTGGTGTTTGCCATGCCTTGGGTCGAACATGTCCCCCTACAGGCGGATTTGGAAGAAAAAAGATACCCTGGCGACGTACCCAACCCCTGCGCAATGCGGGGCACGAGTAGCTTGGAAGATTTGACGAGAAGGCGGCGACGTGACATGGGCGCATGTACTTCTGCGAGCGGCATTCGGCGAGGTCCCCAAGGGAGAACCGATGAGTAACTAAGTGAACCCCTGAGTCACTAAGGAAGACGCCGCAAGGTCCAAAAGGAGACTGTGGGCAAGGGGCTTGAAACGTCGGCGGGGGGCAGCAACAACATGACATGGCCCCCCAGGGACGGTGAGGTCTCGCTAAGGTCCGCGCAGTGTCTCACTCCGCTGGACCCACCAGCAGCCTTCGCAAGTGGCGAGCCCACCAGCAGCCCTCGAAGGTGGCGACAATTTCGCAGATCGCAGCCCCCAGAGACAGCGAAATCTCGCTCAGGTCTGCGCGGTGCCTCACTCCGCTGGACCCACCAGCAGCCCTCGAAAGTGGCGACGATTTCGAAGATCGCAGCCCCCCAGGGACGGCGAGGTCTCGCGGGAGACAGGAGGCAGGAGGCGGGAGGAGGAGGAGGTTGACGCGACCGCAGTGCTCTATTCAAAACGAATGCCCAACCAAGGAGGGTTGGGACCCCCCCAAAAATATCCTAAAATAATCTTAACAAATCATAGAACAATCGTCTCCGTAATATTGCTGGACTACTTTGCATATTCCCCATGTAGAGGGACAGGCCCGACTTCATGACTACCATGCCATTGGCTTCCTCCAAAAAGCGTACACGCTGGTCGGAAGGAGCGGGTAGAAGCATGAAAAACCCAGACGCCCTCGCGTGATGACAAAATCGCGACGGGAGCTTTTCGCCATTTGTCGCCCAAGGGCCGTTACGGGGCCTCGGGACCGTCCAAAAACGATTCAGGATGCGAAACCAGTCCCGGGGAAGGGGTCGAGACCTCTGGGGGTCGACGTTGTGAACAAAATCACGGCGTCGGAGGTCTGGGTAGGAAGGCGTTGGAAGTAGATTGGGACCCCGCCCGCGCCCTGAAGGTGAAGGAAAAAGGAGAACCATCCGATCCTTGAGGTAGGAAGGCGCCCAAAGTAGATCGGGATGTGGGAAATCAGAAGAATCTACTTACAACGACTGGCGTGCACGGTGAAGTGCAAAGCCATAAGCAGGATGGCGTCGGTACCGGAGGGCAAACCCTCACCATAGGAGGAATTCTTTAGAGTCTCGGGCGACAGTCCGGATCAACTTCCAATCGTCCACGCTGCCCTGGACATCACTGTGCACTCCGAACGTTGCACGGTCCCGCCCATCTTTCTAGAAACCTGGGTCTCCTTGCGCCCACGGGGCCTCCGTGAGCCTGCAGGAGCTCCCCAGCGGCGCGGAAGTGGCCAATGTTGGTCATGCACGAGCCGATGAAGACCTCGTCGATCTTCGGCGAGCCGATCTCCGACAACGTCTTGGCGTCGTCGGGGTCGTTGGGGCAGCACAGGATCGGCTCCGTGATCTCGGCGAGGTCGATCTCGTACACCTTCTTGTACTCGGCCTGGGGGTCTGCCTCCATTAGCACAGGGTTCGCAAGCCAAGCCTCCATGGACGCGATGCGGCGCTTCAAGGTACGCACGTCGCCGTAGCCCTCCGCGATCATCCACTTCAGCATGACCACGTTCGACCTCAGGTACTCGGCGACGGACTCCTTGCTCAACTTGATTGCGCAACCTCGGGGGTACAACAAACCCGTGCGACCGTACGAAAGCGTACGGGAGGAGGCAAGGCGTGGTGGGAGCAGGATGAACTGGAGAGGAGGAGGGGAACGTTGCCTTCACACAGACACAAACATACACACACACGTTTGGTCTGCGCGGCCGCGCACGCGGCGATGCGGCGGAGTCAGGCTAGAGGTCGAAGGCAAGCACACACATAATGTTTCCCCCTCCAGCGCGCCGAGGCGGTGCAACCGACGGCCCATGAACTACGACAGCGGGACACACACACACACACTCACTCAACATTCCCCGCGTAAAAACAGACACACACATGCTTTTGGGGTTCGCGGACACACACGAGTCCCTCTCTCTCTCTCTACACATAGACATATATATATATATATATATCATCGCTCGCTCTGTATGTTTATGTATATCTACATTTCTCTCTCTCTCTCTGTCTCTCTTTCTCTCTCTGTCTCTCTTTCTTCCTCTCTTTCCTTCTCTCTTTCTCTCTCTCTCTCTCTCTCTCTCTTTCTCCACACACACACGTCCCGCGCAGCTCGGAATCGGAGACGGAGTGAATAAGCGAGGGGAGGAGGGGGAAGGGTCAAGACGGCCGACGCTGCGAGGATAAGAAGGCAGCTAGCTGTCTCTGGTGTTGGGCGCAGAGAATGCTTGAGTGTAGGCAAATCCTGTAACGCCCCAGCCTGGAAACCTTCACTACCCTGCAGACACCCTGCCAGAACTATCAAAAACCTCCGAATGCATCCGCAAATCCCCGAAACCCTCCGACAAGATCCGGCAACCTTGAGAGGACCCGAAACGATGCGAACACGAATACTTGAGTGAAAGGCTGGAGCCCTCGAAAACCACACCCCGATGGCCATGAAGAGACCGCCGAGACCCTCCATGAACCAACCGCCATGGCTGGCGCACGGAACCGAACTTCTGCTGTCAGCGGTGACGCGGGGCACGGAGCGTCGTCTTGCCGTCGCTCGGACGTCCATTTCCCGTGCATGTTCGGTTTCGTGCGTGTTTTTTGTTGCTCGATGGTCCAGGATGGTCCTCGATGGTTCTCGCCGAGAAGACATGCACACGTCCGAACGATGCCAAGAAGACGTACTGGCCTGGGTCAATCCGAGCCCGGGCAAGTCGGGCTTTGAAGAATCCTGCGAGATCCTGCAGGATCCTGGAGGATCCTGCACACAAGCCCAGGGTCGGTGCAACCCTGGCACCGCAGGATCCTGCAAGATCAGGCGCCCTGACTGACCCCCGTTTGCGTCAGGTCGGGCATATCCTCCTACGGGGGGATTTTGAACAAACCATTTTGAATACCCCCAAACATATTCCAAACATATTGAAGATAGTCGAGCAAATCGTCCTTAGACTATTTTTAACGTATGTTTGATTATTCCTCCTGTCGAGGGACATGCCCGACTTAACGTTTGCGTCGACCCCCGTCTCTGGCCATCGCTCGGACGTCCATTCCCTGTGCTCTTCTCGGTTTCGTGCGTGGTTTTTTCGCCAAGTGATCAAGGATGCTCCTCGAGGGCCCTCGCGGAAGGAAAAATGCACACGTCCGAGCGATGCCAAGGTCTCTGGAGCCCCGATCTGGCCTCCCCCTGGGCCGACTTCCCATCCCGAGCTGCCCCCGTGACGGCCCCGCGGCCAAGCACGGGGCCCCCGGAGACCGACCGAGAGAGAGGCCACAGCGCCGTCGACGCGGTGTTTTGTGCTGTCGCGTGCGCGCGGGGGTCGCTTGGGCGAGGGGGGCGGGGATGGGGTCCTGCAGTGGGGGCGTTGACCTAAGGGACCTTAAATAAAGAACGGGGCCCCTTTTTACCATGAGCTCAACTTCGATGCCCGATCTAAGACCGAATGTACACCCGAGGCAAACAGTAAAACAATTGAGGAACACGGAACCCCTCCCAAACGAAGAGGGTTCCTTCTTCAGCGCCCCGACTGTAGGGACGCGGTGCCCCAAGCAACCATAACTCCGCCCCTGGACCCCTTCCCACTCCTGGGTCGGGCAGGTCCCCCTGCAGGCGGATTCCGGGAGACAAGTGGGGCACATCGTTTGTGTTGTTTTCTTGTGTTGTTTTTGTCGGTCTGCTTGTCTAATCCGTCCCCATTCTATGGTTTCGCTATTTTGAACACTCCGCCTGTAGAGGGACATGCACGACTGGATCCCATCTTTACGGCCCCTTCTCTCGGGACCCCATCTTGGCACCGCCGAAGGGGAGGGGGGGAACGTACCACCGCCGAGCTGGCAGCAGGGATCAACCACAAGAGAGGGCGGGGCCCAGCTGGCAGCAGGGACATGCCCGACTTAATCCTATCTTTACGGCCTCTTCTCTCGGGACCCCATCTTGGCACCGCCGAAGGGGGGGGAACGCACCACCGCCGAGCCGGCGGCAGGGACAAACAGCAGGAGAGGGCGGGGCCGAGCTGGCAGCAGGGACATGCCCGACTTACTCCTATCTCTTACGGCCCCTTCTCTCGGGACCCCATCTTGGCACCGCCGAAGGGGGGGGGGGAACGTACCACCGCCGAGCTGGCAGCAGGGATCAACCACAAGAGAGGGCGGGGCCCAGCTGGCAGCAGGGACATGCCCGACTTAATCCTATCTTTACGGCCTCTTCTCTCGGGACCCCATCTTGGCACCGCCGAAGGGGGGGGAACGCACCACCGCCGAGCCGGCGGCAGGGACAAACAGCAGGAGAGGGCGGGGCCGAGCTGGCAGCAGGGACATGCCCGACTTACTCCTATCTTTACGGCCTCTTCTCTCGGGGCCCCATCTTGGCACCGCCGAAGGGGGGGGGGAACGCACCACCGCCGAGCCGGCGGCAGGGACAAACCGCAGGAGAGGGCGAGGCCGGCGGGCGCCCGGGGCGACGGGCGCGCGCGCGATAGACCGCACGGGGCGGCTTCTGCTTTTCGTCGCGACTGGGAGGGGACTCGTGCAAAAAGGGGAGGGAGGCGAGGCGAGGGGCGGATGCGTAAGCCTATGGGCGAGAGGAGGGGCAACCAAAGCGCACTGTGGGAACGAAGGAGGGCTCCTCCCCGTCGTCGCCGACGCGGCGTCCGCCGCCAAGGCCGCGGCCGCCGCGCCAGCGGGCGCGGAGGGCGCACCGGCCTGGGCTACGTTACTCCCATCGTACTGAAGGACCGCACCACATCCCAGAAATAATCTCGAGCACCCGGAAGAGTGTCGAAAGGGTGTCGAGAGAGTGTCGAAGCAGCGTCTCCCGGGGCCCGACACGCGAAAACCCTCGAGTTTGGGGGTACTTTTCTGGCGCTCGAAATTCTTCCTGGTGGTCAAGGCTAAAGTAGGCTGGAACAGCATAAGACTTGGGCAAGGGTTGGCGGCGAGCCTGGGGGGGACTGAGAAAGGCCGGGCCTTTTCTCAAACATGCTCGGAAGTCCCCGGGTCTCATGAGAGGGTGTCCTGCGCCCGTCGCGGCGGCGCAGGATACCCGGCAGAAGGCGCGCGGGCCTCTGAGAAGGCGCCGCCGCTATCTCTTCTCCTCCTCAGTTCCCCCCCTCGCTCGCCGCCGAAAGGCGGCGGGCGGGGTGGGGGGGAACGCACCAGCGCCGAACCAGCAGCAAGAAACCAAAAAAGATCCTCCTCCTCCTCCTCCTCCTCCTCCTTCCCCCCAGAGAGAGATAGAGAGAGAGAGAGAACAAAAAAAAGGCGGCGCCGGCAGGCGCCCGGGCGACGGGCGCGCGCGCGCGACACCGAGAGGGATAGCTCTTGTTTTTGTCGCGACGCGAGGGGGTTTGGTTTGGGCCTGAAAGTCCAATCAATAATCTAATCGTAATATATTATGTTTTGGTTTACTTTTTGTTCTTCGTTGCAAAGCCCCCTGTAGGAGGACGCGCCCGACCTAAAGCTTGGGCAAAAGCCGGGGAACGAACAATGACTCGATTATAAAACTCGGAGGTCCGCGCGGATCTCTTGGATCGGCGCTGGACCCCCCTGACCTGGCGCGCCAGTGTCGCGCCATGGGCAGCGCCGGAGGCGCCGCCAGGGGGGCGCAGCGCCAAGGATCTCCGAGTATTGATGTTTATGTCCTTGCTCGTTCCCCTGAAGGGCGCAGGGGAGGGGGGGGGAGGGGGGGGGCGCACCAGCGTTAGATCGGGCATGTCCTCCTACAGGGGAATCTTGAGCGACAAACAGAAACAAAAAGTACGAACAACAAACAACAACACAACACATCGTCCCCAGAATTTTTCCCCATCCCATATCCTATGATGGGGTTCTTGTGATTACTGTGACGCCGAAGAATACTCACGCAGGCCTCCTGTCATTCTCGTCCCTCTCATTCTCGTCTCCTCCTACGTAGATTCGTCCATACTCAGATTCCTTCGCACTCATGCTATTCACAGTTGTTCACATTCAAACTCACTCAAACTCACATACTCTCGGATTCACTCATGCCAAAACTTTGTCGCACTCATTCATGCATATTCAAAAGATCCGGAGGATGTCTCTGGTGGGGTATTGGTTTCCGCGCCCCAAAGGGGCACAAGAAGGGTATCGCACGGCATCTCAGGCAGTTGGCGTGTTTCGGTGGCCAACATCGTCCGCGTTTAGAGCGGATTGTTAGGATGTCTCAGGCGGGGCAATGGTTCAATCACCCCAAAGGGGAACCGCCAGGGGGTACTGCACTGGCCCGTTCGCGGCCGGTCTGTTGGGATGTCTCAAGCGGTTTGCCTGATTCGGTGGCCAACATCGTCTGCGCACCAATCACATTGTGAAGATGTCTCAGGCAGGGCGCATGTTTCAGCACCATTAAGGGGAGCCGCCACAGGGTATTGCATGGGCCCGTTCGCGGACAGTTTGTGGGGACGGCTCAAGCGGTTTGCCTGTTTCGGTGGCCAACATCGTATGCGTTTAGAGCAGATTGTGAAGATGTATCAGGCAGGGCGCAAGTTTCAGAACCCCCAGGGGAGCCGCCAGAGGTATTGCACGGGCCAAATTTGTGGGGATGTCTCAAATGGTTTGCCTGTTTCGGTGGCCAACGCCGTCTGCGTTGAGAGCGGGTTGTGAGGATGTCTCAGGCGGGGCGGTGGTTTCAGCACCCCCAAGGCGAGCCTCCAGCGGGCTTCCACGGGCTTCAGGCGCAAAGGGGGCCTGGTGGTTTTTAAGCGTGATCTTTTTCAGCTCCAGACTGGATGATTCGGCGGGCGTTCGGTCCTCCGAGGGTTCCACGCTTCTCTCTCTCTCTCTCTCTCTCCCTCTCGCTCTCTCTTCTGTGTGTTTTCATTCGTCGCGCATTCCTCTTCCTCCTCATCCTTCTCCCACGTCCTCCTCATCCTCTTCCTTTTACGGACCAGGATCAAGCAAAACCATAAGAACAAACAAAAAAAACAAAAAAAACAATAAAAGTGTGATTTCTGGGGGAAAGACCCAGGATATGTATCTAGCACGCTTGTGTACACGTGTGTATCAAGCGCCGGCGCTTGGGCTCGAGAGAAAGGCGCTTCCCTTCTCCCACTGCAGAAGCGAAGGGTCGAGGGGGCGATAGCGGCTAGGAGCTATTCGATCGAGTTCTCTTTCGAGATTCCCGCCGACGGTATCGACACGTTCGAGCGGGAGAGTTTCGACCAGAAACGAGGTTGGCAGCGGAGCTTGTGGTTGGCCCCACGATCTTCATTATAACGATTATCGAGATAATCTACACGGACACGGACTAGCCATTCAGAGAGATGACAGAGCATCACAACAATGCAGTGGATCCAAGAATCCCGGTGCTGAAGGGCGAGACCCTCAAGGATTTCACGAGGTACAAGCGCGCCGTGCAGGCGGCGGAGCTGAGCTGCGAGACGGAGGATCAACTACAAGCGCTCGGCCCCAAGCTGTATAGGAACCTGCTCGGCGCGGACAACAGCATCAGCGTGCTCATCGAGCAGACGGACCCCAAGGACTATGCCAAGAAGGAGGGGGCCCGCGCGCTGCTGGCATACCTAGAGGCACAGCGCTTCGCCAAGAGCAGTTTTCGGGAGCTGCCGAAGGCATTCGACGCCTTCTTCGATCAGACGCACTTCGAGCGGAAAGGTGAGGAACCCATGGCGGCGTTCTGTACGGCCATGGAGGTTGCCAAGCGCAACCTGGAGGAGGTGGACCCGGACACGAAGATAAGCAGCAACGAGCTAGGGTACCACACTCTCAAGCGAAGCGGCCTCGACAAGGACGAGCGCAATCTGGTGATTGCACGGGCAGAGGAGACGTTCAACTTCCAGAAGATCAGCATGACGCTGAAGAATCTCTTCCCACGCGGCAGCGCGAAGCATCGGGGACAAGTCAGATCGGGCTGGAGATGGACGATGAACACCGAAGAGGAGCCACCCGACGAAGAGGATCCAGGAGAATACTGGGTACAGGACGATGACGGATACTGGTATGAATGGGACGATGAGCGTGGAATCCACGTGTGTACGGACGAGGGTGACGACAACGGCTGGGACTGCAGCGACCTGTTCTTCATCGAGGACGATGCGGACACGTTCCTGGCCGACGAGGACGACGACTACCGCAGGGCCCTCGTCACACTGCGCGAGAGCCGCCTGAAGATGAACAAGCTTCGGGCTGCTCGGGGGTTCTTCAAGGGAAGAATCGACGGAGTCGTGGACGAGAGCGCGGCTGCTGGTGGCAAGGCGGCCGGAAGAAGTTTCTCGAAAGGCAACCCTGGCAAAGGAAAGGACAAGGGTAAGTCAAAGGACAAGAGGTGCACCAACTGCGGCCGGATGGACCACGACACGGCGAACTGTCCGACTGGCGGCTCTACTGGCAAGACGGGCAAGTCCAAGGGCCGCGGCAAGGGACCGAAAGGAGTCCAACGTCCACGACGCTACGGCTTCTGGGCGATGACGACCTTGGTCTGCGCCGTCCCGGCGTGCGTGAACTTCGTGGGTCAGCTGACCGCTGCGGGCGAGCTGGCCGACAGCGCCGTGGTGCAGACCGCCGAGGACGTCTATGACATCATGACGGTGAGCGTGGATAGCGATCCGATCGTGCCGGAGAGGCTCGAGTTGGAGGTGCTGGTTTCGAAGGAGGCGGTGCCGGCAACCCTGGTGGACAGCGGCGCGTCGGTGGCGGTCGCCGGGCGCGGCTGGCTTGACCGCGTCGAGACCGAGCTCGCGAAGTACGGCCTGAAGCCCATCAAGGTGGACGCCACGCAGAGGTTCAAGGGGCTTGGCGGTGCCAAGCGTGAAGCCAAGCAGAAGTGGATCATCCCCATCGGCATTGGGAGGGTCCACGCTATCCAGGAGTACTTCGAGATCCCTGGTGACATGGTCGGCCTCACGAGCAGGAAGAACCTGGCCGACTGGAAGACGAACCTCTACGTACGCGAGGACGGCCACTGGGCGGACTTCCAGGAGCTGGGGGTCTACGACAAGGAGCTGGTGAAGCTTCCAGGCGGCCACGCGGGTATCGACATCTTCGACTACGACCTGGAGTCGTACGAGACGGAGCCGCTCTTCGAGAAGTTCCGCATCCACCAGGTCGACCCCGAGCCGGAGGTGTTCCTGGTCGCGGAGACGCTGCAGGAGGTCAAGCCGGACTTCCAGCTGAAGGACGACGCCGACGCGTGGGTCGCGGAGGCTTTGAAGAACGGCAACAAGGGCATTCTCAAGAAGAGCACGGTCAAGCGGATAGACAAGCTCATGAAGGAGTACGAGGTGATATTCGACGTGCTGCGTGACAACTCGGAGACCTTCCTCTGGGAGCTGTTTGCGAAGGAGGCTCGCTTTACCAGAGCGGCCTCGAGAGGTGGTCATGCGAATGCGACCCCTTCAGATCTGTCGGTTGGTGTGAATTTCAATGACCCCAAGGTTTGTTCCGATTTCCTGTTCATGATAAAGATTTTCAAGCCTTGGATGGTTTCAGTCGCGTTTCCTTGTACGCCCTTCACGAACATGCAGGAGTTTCAGCGGGCGCAGGGTATGGGCGACTGGGTCGATGACATGGTCGAGGAGTTTACGCCACTGGTCAGCTTCTCGGCGGACGTACTTCGACTACAGGCTGAAGGAGGACGAATCGGTATCGGCGAGAACCCGTTGACGAGCCGAGCGTGGAACCAAGAATCGATGACGGACCTGATGAGCTGGAAAGACGACAGGCCACCATCCTACGACACGGTCACGCTGCACCAGTGCATGTACGGGCTCGTGGACGAGAACGGGACACCGATTCGGAAGGCGACGCGCATGCTGGTACCACATGGGTCGTGTTTTCCTTCCTGGCTGGAACGCAGATGTGACGGAGGTCACGTACATGCGGAGACGGTCGGCCGGAGCGCGATGCTCTCGCGATCGGCTGCGTGGCCGGAGGAGCTCGGCAAGACCTTGGTCAAAGCCGGGACGCACGAGCTGGCGATGCGCACGACCTTGAAGGAGCTGCGGATCTGGAACAACGGGGAGAAGATTCCGAGCCGACCAACTGTGAATGGAGTTGCGAAGGCATACAAGCTGAGAAAGGAGTTGATCGACGTGCGCGTGCTGAGGGGCACCGAGGAGATACCACTGCCTCGAGGAGCTGTACGGCGTATCTACGCGATGTACTCCAGCGAGGGCTTGCTGGCCGACTACTCGGATGCCTACGCGGACGACTTGGATTTCCAGACGATCGACCTGGCAGAGAGGTATCCCTCGGACACGGTCGTGGCGATTTACGTGAAGGAGCCGAAAGTGCAGACGTCCTATCCTGCGACGGTGTTTGCCTATGGAGCCACGCCGAAGGAGTTCAAGCCAGACGACCGAGACGCAGACGCAGTACATCGAGACCTACACGAAGAGGGGAAAGGTTTCGGGGATAAGCCCCCGGACATCACTACGGCCCAGTGGGGCGCTCTTCGGAAGCTCCACTTGAACCTGAGCCATCCGTCTGCACATGCCCTCAAGCGACGCCTGAAGTCCTACGGGGTGTCGAAGGAGGTGCTCGAAGCAGTGGACAAGTTGGACTGCACCGTGTGCAAGGAGCTGGGCAGGCCGAACACCACGAGGTCAGCCAATCTGAAGCTCTCGACGGAGTTCAATGAGAACGTGTTCCTAGACGAGGCCGAGGTGATCCTCTCGGACGGGACGCGGCTGATGGTCATGGTTATCCTGGACGACGCTTCGAGCTTCAGGGTGATCGTGCCGACCACAGCTGTGCGATCGATTACGGGCGAGGAGAGCCTACGGTGCTTCTCGCAAGGTTGGTTGTCGTGGGCAGGCCCTCCGAAGGTGCTCTACTACGACGCGGCGAAGGGCCACATCACGAAGCGGTTCGCGGAGATCGGTGACAAGTACAACATCCTGATGAGGCCGGTCCCGGCGGAGGCGCCTCAGCTGAAGGGAAGAGTCGAGCGTGCCATCGACTTCTTCAAGGATCATTTCCAGCGCCTGAACCGCGACGTGCAGCTCACGAAGAACGACGAACCAACGGTATGGACTTCAGTGATAGCGAGCACGTGCAACAACCACATACGACGCAACGGTTTCACGCCCTACCAGTACGTGCTGGGGAAGTCGCCCGGCACTCCGACTTCGCTGATCGAGGCGATGGAGGGCGACCAGAGGCAGCTGGCGGCACAGAGCGCGGCACTCTTCGAGGACGGGCCCCGGCGGGCCGAACAGATTCGCGCAGCGGCGAATCGGGCGTTCTTCGAGCTGGACAGCGACGACGCCGTGAGGAGGGCCACGATCGGGCGAGTCCGACCGCCACGAGGGCCATTTGTGCCGGGCCAGCTGGTGTTCTACTGGCGCGAGGTGAAGCACGTGAAGTCCAAGAGGCTCCAGGGCGAGCTGGGATGGCGTGGCCCAGCCATTGTGCTGGCGACGGAGGGCCACACGAGACTGCACCTGAGTTACCGAGGGGTGCCGGTGCTCGTGACGCCCGAGCAGGTGCGGCATGCATCACGCGACGAGGCGGAGATGGTGGAGAACGAGGACCTGGTCAGGCAGCTCTCGCAGTGGCGTGGAGGACCTACTCTTCAGAAGGGATTTATTGACGAACGTGGTCCTGGGCCTGGAGGAAGCCAACAGACAGGCACACGACGCGAGAGGAGCAATGACGACTCGGACGACGAGGACGTTGGAGACGACCCGCCAATGACGAAGGTACCTCGCACCGAGCCGGTCCCACCAGCTCCGAGACCGCCACCAGTGGAGGCGACTCCCAAAAGGGAACGAGTGATAGAGGAAGCACCTGGAGCTCAACCTGGAGGGCTACCAGAAGTACCACCACTACCCGGCGACGGGCCGGGACTCCAAGTACACGGACCAGCATACGACCCACCTGCACCTGATGCAGCTGGGCAGGGGCACTCTACGGACCTGGACGCAGCTGCTGTGCCAGGTAATCCGCATCATGAACCTGAGCGAGCCGAACAGCCAGGACAGCCAGAACCCGCACCACCGAAGGGATTCAAGAGGCCACTTCCTGATGACCGGCTGCAAGACAAGGAACGTCTTCGACTACGACGCGAAGCTCTCAAGGAGGCAGCTATGCGTTTGCCACGGATTCCTGACGATCCCAGCGACCTACCGATGGGGGACGACAGCGCACTCTACGTCAAGGTGAGCCGCGCGGTGGAGAACCGCACGAGGGATGCATTTCTGGCAAGGAGGACCGATACAGCCAAGAAGCAGGTGGCACCTAAGAAAGGTCGAGAACTACGCAGCATCCCGGCAGAATGGAAGGAAGCATTCGACGCGAGCGACCTGGACGAGTGGCGCAAGTGGATCCAGTACGACGCCGTGGAGTGGCCGACGGAGAAGGAGCTCGCAGGGGTCGAGAAGGCGGACGTCCTGCCGATGCGGCGCGTCCGGACGGACAAGAACGAGCCGACGAGGGGCAGCCTCTCGTACGAGCAGCACCCGCTGAAGGCGAAGTCGAGGAACATCGTCCCCGGGTACAAGGACAAGCAGCTGCTGGCCGGCGAGTTGCAGACGAACGCGCCCACGCTCACGGACACGGCCACGGCGGTGATTCTCCAGGAGGCGGCCAGCCAGGAGGGCTGGACTCTGGAGCAGGGCGACGTCGACTCGGCGTTCCTGAATGGGAAGTACCTCGACAGCTCACGACGTGTTTATTTTCGAGCTCCCAAGGGCGGTCTACCGGCAGTCCCGGAGATGGGCTGGCCGTTCGTGCCCGAGGGAACCATCCTGAAAGCGAAGAAGGGGATCTACGGGCTGAACGACGCACCTTTACTGTGGTACGAGGAGCACCGCGACACAATCCTGTCATTGCCCGGGGCTTCGAGATCCAAGCTGTGCCCGGCTCTCTTCATCTTCCACGACGAGAACGGGAAGCTGATCGGCCTCATCGGGACTCACGTGGATGACGACTTGGTCGCGGGTTCGCCCGAGTTCTTCGCGAATCAGGTGGCAACGCTGAGGAAGATACACTGCTACGGCAAGTGGCAGTCCGCGCGGACAGGGTTTCACCACTGCGGGCGCTTCCTCAAGCAGAACGACGACGGCACCATCAAGTGCAGCCAGAGGGAGTACACGGAGAGCATCGGGAAGATTCCTATTTCGGCCGAGCGCCGGAGGAACAAGGAAGCGAAGGCCACGGCTGAGGAGAGAGCGTTGCTCCACAGCGGCAACGGCCAGATCCAGTGGCTGGTGCGCTCTACGCGTATGGACTTGGCGTTCCGTCTGGTGGAGAGTCAGACGAGGGCTCACGACAGCGACCTGAAGGTGCAGGACTTGCTCGACTTCAACAAGCTGGTGAGCGACGCCAAGACAGACCATGTGGACATCACTTTCCAGAAGATCAACATGGACGATGCGATCGTGGTGGCCATCGGGGACTCAAGTCACGGCAACGTGGGCAAGACGAAGACGGCGAGCCAGGCCGGACTGGTCATCCTGCTAGCAGACAACAAGGACAACAAGTTCTTGCGCGGGATGCCTACCAAGATCACCCCTATGCTGTGGCGCTCACACCGCATTAAACGTGTGGTGCGCAGTACCCTTTCGGCCGAGACGATGGCAGCTTTGGAGGCGGTCGAGAGTGGCGACATGCTGAGGCAGCACCTGGTGGAGCTACACTACGGACTGGGTTACCGGACCCACATGGAGGACGTCAAGGCGATTACCATGGTGGAGGTCACGGATTGCAAGTCTCTCTACGACCTGCTGCAAAAGCGCGGCACGGTTCCCTCCGAGAAACGGCTGCTCATCGACATCGAGGCGCTCAGGAACGACATCGAGTTTAACAACGTGGTGAGCAAGTGGGTGAACACTAAGCAGATGCTCGCCGACTGCCTCACCAAGCACGACGTGCGCGCTGGCGACTACATGAGGTACGTGCTGCAGACGGGCGAGTACCGGCTGACCGAGGACCTCATGGCGGACCAGGTTATCCATAAGCAACGGACGGAGCTCAAGGGACGCAGGGGGGAGTACTACCGCACGAAGTACCCCAAGCGACAGCGACCTGCCGATCAACCTTTCGTGCACGAGGGCTACACGTACTTCGAGGACTGCATCGCAGACGTGAGGTACAATGCGAAGGTCGTCCAACCTGCTCCGAAGCCATACCTACGTTGGCGGATGACGCTGGGCCAGCGCGAGAACGATATCTACTACGAGAAGCTCGAGGAGATGGTCGACTGGTCCGGCCTGGACCAGGTGGTGAAGCGTCGGACGATCCCGACGCACGTGCGTAAGTTGTTGACGATCTACGCACCGACCAAGGGAGCCCTCGAGCGCTACGAGAAGGACTTTGCAGAGAAGCACACCATCAAGAAGCCAGATGCGACTGAGGATCCAGAGGACAAGGAGGAGTTGAATGTCACATCGGAGATGGAGATGCATGTGGAGTCAGACGTGAATGCCAAGCTGGATTGCACCGACGACACGAAGGAGATCTACATGATGGACGCGACGGGGGCCGACGCTGAGGAGATCAGGGCAAGCCCACAGGGAGGTGCAGCTGCGGCGTGGACTACCATGGTAGTGTGTACTGTGTGTCGCATGACGGTGGACCAGTGCGAGTGCGGGCCGAGGACACGGAAGAAGCCACACAAGGACAAGGCCGAAGACAAGAAGGTCCCCAGCGACATAGACGACGGCAGCTGGCAAGAAGTCCCGAGTGTACGCGCCACATCGGCGACACCGCCGACGCCATCTAAGAAGCTTATGCAGAAGGCATACCGCCTACACGAGAAGACCGGACACGCTCCCTACGAGAAGATCGAGAGTGACTTCGGAGACGTGCTGGAGGACGGGGTTCTAGAGGCGTATCGTATGGTGATCGACGAATGTGCAGTGTGTCGGAAGGCAACCCAGGAAGCTGGCAAAACCAAGTACACCAAGAAGTCAAGTCCGACGAACACGAAGTACAGGACGAAGGACCAAAGCAAGTATATTGACCCCGACCTGTGCGAGCACCCGACGGACAAGCGAACGAGAGCAGGGACCAACCAGTATAAGGAGAAGATCAAGTGCACTGAGTGCGGGACCCTACTCGTGGACCGCGACACGCCATGGTGGAGCGAGGAGAAAGTGCTTCGGGCGCAGGCCAAGGCGGCGAAGGCACAGATGGAGAGACAGGCGTATGTGCGGGGAGATACGGGCTCGAGTTCTTCCAAGAAGTAGTTTGTGTTTGGTTATATACATATCTCATGAAGTTGGATTTCGTAGACGACACTATGGATTCTTTCATATACGACGGCTTCGCCGATTACCTTGACTTCATAGAGTACTGAGTTTTGCGAGTTTGCCCGGCGCTCGAACGAGAGGCAAGCTTAGCTAGAGAAAATAGTATGAATGTGATTTCTGGGGGAAAGACCCAGGATATGTATCTAGCACGCTTGTGTACATGTGTGTATCAAGCGCCGGCGCTTGGGCTCGAGAGAAAGGCGCTTCCCTTCTCCCACTGCAGAAGCGACGGGTCGAGGGGGCGATAGCGGCTAGGAGCTATTCGATCGAGTTCTCTTTCGAGATTCCCGCCGACGGTATCGACACGTTCGAGCGGGAGAGTTTCGACCAGAAACGAGGAAAAGCAATCCTCGGGAATTTCCTGGTGGGTGGGGTGGAGGGGGGAGAGTCCCTCGGGATTTTATTTTTCTTTCCTATGGTCTTGCTTGATTCTTCTCCGCAAGGAGATTCTGTTTGGGAGGAGGAGAAGGAGGAGGAGGAGGAGGAGGAGGAGGAGGAGGAGGAGGAGGAGGAGGAGGCGGAGGAGGAAGAGGGGGAGGAAGGGGAGGAAAGGGAACAGGAACAAAGAGGAGGAGGAGGAAGAAACGAAGGAGGAGGAAGAGGAGGAGACGGAGGCAGCAAGCGCGAGCAGGCACGCCGCACTTCGCCCGAGGCTCAAACTGCCCGCGGCGCGCCCGCGCCCACCCCACGCCACCTGCGGCGCTCCGCCCTCAGCCCCTTGGCATGGGACCCCCCAAGCCTGGAACGGCCGCCTACGAGAAGAAGGGGGAGCGCAACCGCGTGTACAACGCGGCCAGAACGCGCGGCTCAAAAGGCTGCCGCCCTCGAGGCGGTGGTCGCGCCCTACAAGAGGAAGATCACCCAGCTGGAAAAGAGGGTGGGCGGATGAACAAATCTGAAAGTGCGCCAGGTGCGCGGTGCGTGCCAGGTGCGCAGTGTGCTTTCATGTGTGCCATTTGCGCCACCCCAGGTAGACTTGGTGCGCGACCACAGGGCCGACTTTTGGGAGAAGCTGCAGACAACGGAGGACTTACGGGGGGGGGGCAGGAGGCAGGGCGGCAGCGAGCGAAAACACGCTCCTCCGAGGAGGCTCTGAGGCGCTGCCAGAACCAGCTCAACTACCAGAAGGGCGCCCGCACGAGGGCGGAGAAGCAGCGCGACGAGGCCGAGCGCAAGCTCCAGCGCTTCGAGAACTGGTACTACACCTTCCTGAAGGTGTGCCTGCAGGAGCTTTTGTTTGGAGGGTGTGTGTGTGTGTGTGTGTGTGCGCGCGGGTGGGAGAGCAGCGCAGGGGTTAAAGATATTGCCCCAGGAGCTGCCCACGAAGTGTGCGAAGCAGGTCAACGAGTACTCGAAGACTGGCGTGAGGCAGCTGAACTGGCTCTGGCGCAGCTTCCAGGAAGGAGATTAGCTGCGGAGACAGCAGCGCGCGGCGGGCGCAGGAAAAGCCGCCCGCGCGGGGCGAGAGCGGGCTGACGGAAAGGGTCGGCGGCGCAGAGCGAGGAGGGCCAGCCAGGGAGGGGAGCAGGGAGGAGGAGGAGGAGGAGGAGGGAGGAGGAGGAAGGGGGGGGAGGAGGAGGAGGAGCAGCAGCAGCAGAAGGAGAGGAGGAGGAGCAGGAGGAGGGAGCAGCGGAAGGGGGAACGGGAAGGACAGGGCGGCGAAGAGGGTAACACAACACCAGACAACGCAGTCGCAGTGCCACGCCCAGAGAAGCGAACGACACCAGCAACGGCGCAACGTAAGCGTTGACGTCGCGACAGTAATCATAAACCTGTCTTAGCAAAACACTGCCAGTGCGCACTTCTAGAGGGCATCCTAAAAAAAGATGCCCCCCCGTTGTGGACAGCGATAACACCGCAGCTTGCGATTGGGGTTGCGCGCATGCGTGTTCACTCGTGCGCGCGTGACACGGCCGCAGCAATCTGCATCTCGAGCTTTGTGACTCGGAGAGGCCAAGGCCCGCCCACTTCTCCCTGCGGCAACATGGCCGCCATCAACCCCGCGGTGGTGCTGCCAGATAGCCTGGGGACTTCGCCCGGCCTGCCCGGCTACGCGCCAGGCTGAACGTTCGGCGAGGCGCTGCAGCACATCGAAAACATGAAGGCGAACGACCACCCATGCGTCCACGTCAGCAGGCTGGATACGGCAGGGCAGCGCGCAATCGCCGATCTACCCGCGCAGTTCGCGACGGAGTGCAGCAAGATGATCGTGTACTTCGCGGATAACCTGGGCGACTACGAGTGCGACATCCCATGGGGAACTCTGCACGACTGCGCGAAGACTTGCGACTTCAAGAACAGGCCCGAGCCCTTCACCCTGAAGAAGGAGCCACCTGGCCAGTACTCCATGCAGGTGTTCGTCATCAAGAGGCCCGACGGCAAGCACGACATCCGGAAAGACGTGAACCTCCTGGGGGTGTCCACCAGGACGGATTCGTGCCTTCAGATGTGTCGCGGCACTGGCCTGATATGGCGCTACGGTAACCAATTTAGGGTTGAGCGCCTGGCCGTGCAGTACATGCTGGAGAAGCTCTCACGTTCTTTGGCTGTTTGGGTGACCAACACTTTCCGCGTATAAACCAGATTGTGAGGGTGTGTCAGGCAGGGCGCTGGTTTCAGAACCCTTACGGAGAGCCGCCACAGGGTATTGCATGGGCCCCTTCGCGGCCAGTTCGTGGAGATGTCTCACGCGGTTTGCAGCATTTTTCGGTGGCCGACATCTTATGCGTTTAGAGCAGTTTGTGAAGATGTCTCAAAGGGGGGCCTGGGTTTCAGCACCCTCAAGCGGGGCCGCCAGAACGTATTGCACGGGCCCGTTCGCGGCCAGTTTGTGGGGATGTCTCAACGGTTTGCCTGTTTCGGTAGCCAACACCGTCTGCGTTTAAAGTAGTTTGCGAAACGTCTGAGGCGGAGGGCTGGTTTCAGCACCCTTACAGGGAACCGCCTGGGGTGTTTTCTGTTCGCGGCCGGTTTGTGGGGATGTCTCAGGCGGTTCGCTTGGTCTGTGGCTCAGCATCCTTTGGTGTCAGAGCAGATTCGGAGGATATCTCAGGCGGGGCGCTGGTTTCAGCAGCCCTATAGGGAGCCGGCACGGGCCCGTTCGCGGCCACTTTGTGGGGATGTGTCATGCGGTTCGCTTGTTTTGTGGCTCAACATCCTTTGCTTCCGGAACAGGTCTGGGGCACGTCGCAGGCGGGGCGTGGGTTCCAGAACCCTTAAAGGGTGCTGGTTTCCTTTTCTCTCCTGCTCCTCCGCTCCTTCTCCTGTGCGTTTCCTCCATGCACCTCTGTCGCGTCCTCGCTCGGGCCTCCACGGGCCGAGTTGGCCTCGGGGGAGGTTGGCCTGAGGGGGCAGGTCCAGCGATCCACAGGGCGGCAGGGCGTTCTTGGTTGAAGGCCGTCTTTGTTACACCCCGGGTGGGCGAGTGGAGCAATAATGGCTGATGACGCAGAATGTTCGTCTGCGGCTATGCAGGCTCGCGCAGGCTGGGGGATCGTTATGCGGGGCGGATCTGGTGATCCGCAGGAGGGCGCTCTCGGTTGAAGGCCATGCCCATCCATCATATTTCTGAATCGGGCCGGAAACCGCCACTGTTCGTCATCCTGTTTGTGAGTGGAGCAACAACTGATGACGCAGAGTGCCTTTTTTCTGCGGCATTGGAAACTCGTGCAAGCTGGAGGGGTCGGTATGCATGGCCGATCCGGTGGTCCGCGTAAGGAAAGGGCATTTTAGGTTGAAGGCCATCCTCATCCATTATCTCTGTGACTGGGGGCGTGGCGTGTTATTGCGCCCCATCCCGTGGGTGAGCGAAGGAAGAACTGATGACGAAGATTCCTCCTCTGCGCCAGTGGGAGGCCGTGCGAGATTGAAGAGCCCT